ATGTTTATTCAGAGAAAGTACGTTTTTGTGTCTGATTTCGTAACTTAATTAATAGTTAGCACTAATTAATTAGCATATTTGAGGTCACCCCCAGGAACCATTAAGATTGACACTTAGTTCGTGAAAATCGGATCATTAGAACGAAAGTTATTCAGGGTGATATCTTTTTTTTTTTGCGGACTGTACTTTCAACTAATGTAAGGTCACACTGTGATAAATAAATTGGAAAATATTTACAAAAAATGAAGGATAAAAATAATTTATGTTTAAAGGTTTATTGAAGTTTATATATAAAAAAAAATTAAGGATTACAAGTATGAAAATAAATAAAACCCTAGAGGCAATGTAGAGAACTTGACAATGTAGAGAACTTGATTACTTACAATCTCATAAAACACAATAAAAACTAAATAAATAATATTTGCAGTATCGATAAGATAAAGGTATGTTTATTAGGGGTGGGGTGAAATTAAAAGACACATCTGTCACATTACACATATCTGTATTGGTCATTATAATTCATTCAAAAGTTAGAAATTATGAAAAACATTTAACACAGTATTGTTCAAAAAAACAAAAAAAAACTTTCTTTTGAAATGCAGAAAAACAAGAAGTCAAATTTTAGAAAACTTCAGAATTGTAATATACTGTTGCAGCACCTCATTACTGTTGTACTGTTTTACATTGATATTATTACTACTGCAGCACACCATTTATTTAATAAAACCTTATTCATCACAATGTAGTTACTTACATCGGCTTGGAGCATATTGTAATGTTCTTCTTTGGCACATAAAGACTCTTTTAGTACAGCAATATGTCTTTGGTAATCATGATGTTGCTCCTCTAATGTTTTCATCTTTGCTGTCATCGCCATTATTTCTTGGTCCCGTCTATTTAATTCTATCCTCAGTTCTTCCATCTGTAAAATAAGAATGTTTCAATTCATTTAAGAATAAACTTTACAAAATTCAAGTAACTTTAAAGGTAAATATTACTGTAAAATGTAGAATATATATAGTACTATTCTACATTTACAGTAAATAAGTACTATTCTACATTTACTGTGAATTATACAGGGAAAAAAATAAACAAGAATGTTTTAAATTCGTTTAAGAATTGACTGTGAGAAATTTAGGTAACTTTACGAAACAAATATTATTATAAAATGTAGAATAAATGCAGTACTATTCAAGATTAGCTGTAAATTATGTAGAAGAAAAAATAAATTAGACAGTTTTAATAAAAATTCGTTTTAGAATAAACAAAAAAATTCATCCAACTTTTAGGATAAATTTACAATAAAACAAAATAATACAATAGAATGTAATATACATACATATTTATTGTAAATTTTTCAGAAGAAAAAATAGATTAGGGGCCGTTCAAGAAGTACGTACACAAAAATGGAGAAATTTTAACCCCTCCCTCCCCTTCGTACATTACCGTACATAAGGTCTTCCTCCCCCCCCTAGAGTACGTATATTTTATTAGTCTACCCCCCTTTTACATAAAAATTAAAATAATTAATTATGTTTTAAATAAAATTAAATATTTATTTAAAATAATTTATTCATTTAAATTATTTAAACAATAACACCCAACTTTATCTTTAAATCAATAAATAAAACAATCTTATCTGATCAACATAATAATTTCCTACAATCAATACAATTAATCTACTGTATTTTCCCAAGGACATTCCAAATGCTCCAATTCAGCTCTACTCTTGTCTGCGACTGATGAAAAATTTAGATTATCTTCATCAACGAGATCATCTTCGATCCACTCTGCATCATCTTCGTTTTCCTGGTTTCGGAGGATAACCAAAAGTTCTTTCTGTCGACGAGCTGCTACACGAACTGGTCTTACTTTGTTGATTTGCAAAGAAGATTTGTATATTTTCTTGTGATATTTCAAACAAGTTAAAGATGCAAAATATGTACCACAAGTAGGACAAATTTTGAGTTTAATATCACCTTCTACCGATGGGCATGCTGCATTGTATGGTATTTCTGTGATGGAGTTCAAACCTATTTTTTGATTAACAGCAGCTTTTACAATTGGCTCCAACGTTTGAGATAAAAATAATGATGGAAAAGGTCCTCGTTGGTTGATTATTATCAAGTCCATCATCAGTTTGTGCTATGGGCACAGGCGCTGATAAAAATCTGTTAGGCACAAGCTTAAGAATTGAACTCCGAAATTTAGAACAACAGGATTCATCGTTACACTTAATGATTGGCAGTAGATATTGGCTGTTTCTCACGTGCTTAGCTTACCAAGTCATATCTTTTTCTCGAATTTGTGAAGAACACAGATCTGAATTTTCCAGGTGAATGTATTCACTCATAACTGGAAACTTGTCAATTTCTACATCGAACCATATTTCCGCTAATACTTTTCCTGCTTCTGCAAAATTCTTCTCCTCGAGAACTTTATCAATCGTTTCACCTCTATTGTTAGATGACTACCAAAATGATCGACATATGTATAATACATGTGTAGGAAAAAGTCAAATTTAAATTTGGTGTATGCTCATAATGTACGTACTTTGTATAATACCTCCCCCCCCATAGTACAAAACCGTACAAAATAGCAAATCCCTTCCCCTTCGGGATGTACGTACTTTTTGAACGGCCCCTAAGGACATTTTAATAAAAATTTGCTTGAGAATAGACTAAAAAATTCATGTTACTTAAAGGAACAAATGTTACTGTAATATGCAGAATATCGTATTATTCAACTTTTACAGTAAATTATATAGGAGAAAAAGTAAATAAGAATGTTTTAATAAAACTCGTTTGAGAATAGAGTAAAAAATTCAGGCTACTTTTGCGGTAAATTTTACTGGAAAATATAGTATGTACTATACAACTTTCAGATTAAATTATAGGAGGAAAATAGTCTTATGTCAATAGCTGGATTTCTCCTCTTCCACTATGATGACCTGTCCAGTTAATTAAAGCAAAATAATGAAAATTGAAGAATAAATAGTCAAACAATTTAATATTACTGAGTTATGCTGATATTTGATTACACATGAAAAAATTGATATCAGTGTTCCACAACAGCAAAATATTTAAATTTCAAAATATATTAATGACAGGTTGCAATTATTGAGAAGAAATACACAGGTTTAGCTAACATATTGGCATTCCCATAAATAAAGATTTAATCACAATTATGACTTTATCCCAATTCTTCCCGATTATAGAAGAATCCTAATCAATAGACCTTGTTTTAGAGGGGACCCGACTTTATAAATAAAATCAATTAGCAATTGTGAACATATGAACCAAATCAAATTAATACAACTACTTATAGTTTGAAAACATTTAACAGAAAGAATGAAAAAAAATTCATCACCTTCATCGATAACAATCAATAAATTTGACTTAATATTAGATGGTTGAACGTGTTAGACTTCGACTTAGAGGTTGGGCAGCTCCAACTATCAGGGCACAACCACCAGGTCTATTGTACCCAAACCCTAAATCATGATTAGCATGAAAGCCCTATAGCTGAAATAAAATTCAGCAGACACCTTACAGGAGCATCTTGCAGTTCCCCGTCATTGACGCAATGCTGCTCTAAATGCTCAAATCTTTGAGCAGAATAGACCTCACAATCACAGAGTATGTGTCGTGATGTCTGCTCTTCAAGATGACAACCCCTACAAAGAGAATTGGATTCTATTCCCATTATGTATATGTGTCTCCTGAGGATGCAGTGTCCAGTAAGAAGATCAATGATCTTCCTTAAACTGTTTCTATTAAGCTTTAAAAGCTCTTTTTGACGTACTCTAGGACAGTCACGATTTAGCTCCTTTGCTTGACTCTGACCGTCAGCAACGCACCGTTGCTCATGGACAATTTTGCCATACAGCTTGAATATGGATGCCCTAAATGAGGTGGGAGAAATTCCTAGTGCAGGTTCAGGGCCCCAGAAAATTGCATTAGAGCCAGCCCGTGCTGCTTCATCAGCTAGCTTATTTCCACCAATACCCATATGTTCTGGTACCCAATGCAGGGATACCTTGATATGAGCGAACAGGTCACAGAGGACCGAGAAGCATTCCCACACTAACAAAGAGGTGAAATTACACCTTGACAGTGATAGGAGAGCAGGTGGTTGAACGTGTTAGATCAGGAGCATTATTAGGCTTATTCTTTAGCATATAATCAGAATATAAAATAAATAATGAACATAGGTGCCAACATGAATAGGAAAAAATCCAATAGGTTTTACGAAATAATACACATTTCATGAAAATTGTTGCGTAATATACTAAATATTTCATGCATAGGGAATTATGGGGATTTTTATAGATCAAAATAGAAAAACTGCAATATTTTCCTGTTATAATGAACTTGAAATGTTATGCATGTCTACTGATAATTTTGAATAGAAAGGCATTTAATTCATCACAGATAATTAAAATATTTATAAGTTTATTAAAAAAGGTAGTTCTGAATAAAAATAAAATGAACATTTTGGGACAAAAGTTTTAAACTAATTTTTATAAATGAGGTTAACTTTATTATATAAACTTTATTACAATATCTATTTTTATATAATATTTATTTATATATAATACTTANCAGTGTTCCACAACAGCAAAATATTTTAATTTGAAATAAAATACAGTTCAAAATGTATTAATCACAGCTTGCAATTATTAAGAAGAAACACTCCGGTTTAGCTAACATATTGGCATTCCCATAAATAAAGATTTAATCACAATTATGACTGTATCTCAGTTATTTAGTACAAATTATCTTACTCCAAAACTGCGGTGGTCATGAGCTGGTTAACATAAATCTAATTTTAAAAGTTCTCATAAAAAAAAAAAGTTCAAAGCCTTCTAATCACATGACCTAGATAGCGGTTCCCAATTCTTCCCGACTATAGAAGAACCCTAATCAATAGACCTTGCTTTAGAGGGAACCCGGCTTTATAAATAAAATTTATTAGCAATTGTGAACATATGAACCAAATCAAATTAATACTACTATTTATAGTTTGAAAACATTAAACAGAAAGAATGAAAAAAAATTCATCACCTTTATCGATAATAGTCAATAAATTTGACTTAATATTAGATGGTTGAACGTGTTAGAAAAGGAGCATTATTAGGCTTATTCTTTAGCATATAATCAAAGTACAAAATAAATAATGGACATAGGTGCCAACATGGATAGGAAAAAATCCAGTAGGTTTTACGAAATAATACAAATTTCATGATAATTGTTGCATAATGTACTAAATATTTCACGCATAGGGAATTATAGGGATTTTTATAGTCATCAATATAGAAAAACTTGAATATTTTCCAGTTATAATGAACTTGAAATGTTATGTATGTTTACTGATAATTTTGAATAGAAAGGGATTGAATTCATCACAGATAATTAAAATATTTATAAGTTTATTTGAAAAGGAAGTTCTGAATAAAAATAAAATGAACATTTTGGGACAAAAGTTTTAAACTAATTTTTATAAATGAGGTTAACTTTATTATATAAACTTTATTATAATATCTATTTTTATATAATATTTATTTATATATAATACTTATTTTAATATAATAAGCAAGCAATAATCTGTGCAAAAAGTCTATTTCAAAAGATACTTTTTAAGAAACTTACTCAATTTTGGGGAATTTTCTGAAATCTACAAAAGCCAGGAGAATTTTTATTAAACCAGAAGACCAGGAGAAACTGGAAAAATCTAGTAGTCTACTGGAAAATCCAGTAGAGTTGGCATGCATGAATGGATTAGATTGGATTTAAACTCTCGGAACCCCTGTGAGTCTATTAGGGAACCCTAGGGTTGACATAAGAAAATAACATGTCTTTTGTCTTACTTTGTTAAGTCTTACTTTGCTAAGATCTTTGTCTCTGGATTCTAGCATAGCTTCTAAATGCCTGTAGCGTGTTTCAGTTTCAATCAATTTAGTCTTAACTCTTTCAAATTCTATCCTGTCTTCCTCATGTATTTTACCACCTGATAAGAAAATTAAAATAAAAATTACACTTGTTATCATGTAAATAAAAAAGTAAATGGAACAATAATTCTAAAAAATAAGAATATTTAAAAAAATATAACTTTTGTAAAATCTAGTGGATAAGAAAAAAAAGGTATTATACTGAATAACTTTTCTTGTAGCGATCAGATTTTCACGCACTAAAATGAAATCTGAATTATTCATGAGATCGACCCTAAATATTAGAATCATTTGTGCCTATCATATCTTAAATTATGAAAACAAATACAATATCATACTTAGTCTAAATAAACATGTCTTTTTGGATGAATTTGGATTTGTGACCCTCAAAATATGGGGGAGCCGCTTTATTTTTGCATAAATAATTATTTTTCAGAATTGAGATCTAGATTAACGTCGGCAGTCGCCAATGAACGCTCATTACATAGGAAATGGCTACCGAATTATCAAACCCTAGTCGCCTAAATCAACGATCATGTTACAGATCACGTAAAAAATAAGACTAAAAACACTCAAAATTTAAGACGATTTTATCGCAAATCCTCGTCCTATTTCAATCGTTTCTCCGGTGTTTTTTCCCCGAATACTTATTCTTTAAAATCCCGATAATTTTAAAACACTAGAATATCGAATCGCAGCTTTAAGTAATCACTTTTCGAAATTCGATTCGAGACATTTCCATCACTTTTTTGAGAGTTATTACTACGGATTTAAAATTCATAGTTTTTAAATTCGCTATGTTTTTTAGTATGGCAATAACGACTCCGATTATCGATTCACGCCGTAATCGCGTCCATCCTTTTTATACTCTCGATTTGCGATAATTCCATCGTCAATTTGCAAAGTTTGATTCTCACTTTTGCATTTGCGATAATTCTATCGTCAATTTGCAAAGTTTGATTCTCACTTTTTAATTTGCAATAATTCCATCGTCAATTTGCAAAGTTTGATTCTCACTTTTTCATTTGCGATAATTCCATCGTCAATTTACAAAGTTTGATTCTCACTTTTTCATTTGCAATAATTCCATCGTCAATTTGCAAAGTTTGACTCTCACTTTTTCATAAGTTATTACTTCAAATTTCTTCACAGTTTTTAAAATATTTTTAATACGGTGATACAATACGCGAACATCGAATTGTGCCTGTGAGTTACCACTTTTCGATGAACTCGATTTGGGAAGATTCCACTGAGAATATATTTTATTGTCAAATAAATAGATATTTTTTTCCCCAAAGAATATATTAATAAACAACTTTGATAATGTGCGTACACTTGTCTAAAAGTGGCTACAATTTTTAAACTTCGGATAACAATCATAAAACTTGTTTATCTAAAGGAAGTTTACTGCAAGTTATAATTTTTTACGATTTTTTATTTTATTTAAGAATGATAAAAAAAAAATTGAATGATATACCAATTTTTAGTTCATTTTAAACTGCGCAATGGTATAATTAAAATAATATTGATCAGATAGTCCTTGAAAAATGAAGGTTTGAATGTATGGATTCTTTTCCCCTTTAAAATTTTATAATTCAGAAATAATTCAAAGGATTTTTTTTCATATTTTGTAATTTTTCATTTAAAATTACATAGTTTGTAACAATATAAAAAATTTTATATCTTACAATTCAAACTTTTTGAGATCCTTTTTTAAGTAAACCAAAAACTTATTTTTTTACACGGATTTAGGTTTGGATAAGCAAATTTTATAATTATGTACAAGAAATTTTGTGCTTAAAAATGTTGAGATATGGCGCATTACGTAAAAAGTTAAACTAACATTAAGGGGCCTAAAGATCTGACTAGTTCTGTTGTAAGTTTTGTCAGTAGTTTTCAATTGCGGCAACCCCATTGTTTGAATAGTCGAATATCCAAAGTCACTAAAGAAAAAGTATGTTTGTTTGTTTTCAGAGAAAGTACGTTTTTTTTGTCTGAGAGTATGAAACTTAAATAATAGTTTAATAAAATTTTAATAAAATAGTTTAAAAAAATTGATGTCACCTATTGAAGAAAATCTCATCATTAGAGTGAAAGATATTCATGGCAGGGTGACATTTATTTTTTATTTAATTATTTTACTCACTGTACGAAAAAAAATTGCAAACGTAAAATTTATTATTGGATTAGATTAAATGAATAATTAAACTTCATAAGAGCAGGAATAAGCTATAGTGTGGTAAACTAAAATTATTTAACACAATGAATCAAATCAAATGATATTATAAACAAAGTAGTAAAATTAAGTTTAGTCGCCAAAACCAATTTTAGTTTTGTGTAATTAAAAAGAAGATAATTGGTTCAGAAAGAAAAAAAAATAATTTCGTTAAAAAAATTTTTCATTACATTATTATTATTATTTTGGTGGGTGGAGGGTAATGATTAGCCCATTTGGAGGCTGAGCTTTATTTCTTAAAAATAATGTTAAATATGAGTATTTTTTCCCCAAATATTAACATTAATGTATTCAATTTTTAGAAATATCTTTAAAAAGTAAAAATCGGAATTAGGGAGAAAAAAAAGTTTAAAAACAATGGGGAATAGGAACGAATAGGAAATTTCTGTTTCAGGGAACATCGCTTATCCAAACAGGAAGGAACTACTATTTATCAAAACTTCAAGAAGGTTAATGAATGACAAAATACTTTCCAAAAAACTAAACAAATTGAAAACAAAGTAGATTAAACTGGTTTTGTAAACAGAGGCCTTAATTCTAAAATGGGGAAGTTTTGTATTTGAATCCATATCCACAAAATAGCACTTAGTATAAAACCTAAATTATTGCAATATATAAATTTTATTAAAAAAGCATGAGTAAAATTTAATACTACTGCCATCAACACATAACAAATTTATAGAATATATTTCAAATAATGTATAAACATTTACTAAAAAAAATTAAGTTTTATTAAATATTTAAAAAAAAAAAGTTATCCTTTACCTACTCCCTTTATGTCCATCAATTTTTTAATGCTTTCATCACGGGCTGATAATGTTTGTTTTTGGGTTTCTATCCTAAGCTCTAATTCCTAATAAAAAGAATAAGTTAAAATATTAGAAAAGATAACACGTAATCACAGCTCATAATATATAAATTTAAAATCCATGTAGAAAAAAAGTATATACATAAGTCAAAAAATTTTTAAGCAGTGAAAAAAAAATCCACTCACTAGTGAAGAAGGCGAGATGAAAACTTCAAAACCAACTTGATTACCTAAGGAAACTTAGAAGTGTTAATTTTGTTGTTTCCGTCCCGTATTTCTTCATTGTAACTTGTTAGATTTTAAAAGTGTTTTTGTTTGTTTTTTCGCACTTTAATAATTATTTGCTCCATAGATTAATTTTCCCCTCTATTTTCGGAAAGAATTCCAAAAATAAATATTTGGAGCAACACTCTGTACATTTAAAATTTACAAAAGGTAAGATTTAAAAGTATAAAAAATTTTAAAAAAAAGCAAGAAATTCAAAAAGATTTTGGTAAAGAAAGATATAATTTTACATCAAATTTATAAGCATCTGAACTAAAATGTAAGAACGTGTCGTAGAATAACAGATATTGCACTACTTAAACAGAGAAAAAAAAATCAGTAATTGTGAGTTGTCTGAGAAGTTTGTACAAAATTCTTTCTGGAAACTTAATTTCAAGAAAAGAATTTTTTGAGATTTAAAGGGAAAATTTTCTCTCTAAGACGAATTTTACAAGGCAATGATATAAATACTTGTAAATCAGAAAACATTTTTTTTTCGTAAGAAAACTTTTATAAATTAAGTAGAATTTTAAAAAGAAATTTCTATTTTTTTTCTTCCGAAATTAGATTTTTTTTAAAAATAGGTTTATTCTCGAAAAATTATTATTTTAAACGTAACATAATATCAGTACTTGGGAAAATACGCAAAAAATGCGTTGTTGATGCATAAATATATAATACGTAAAAAAAGTGTTTCTTATAATCAGACATTTAAGAAAACGAAGTTTTTATTTTAAAAATATACAGTGTTTTTTTTATATAATGTACGAATAAAAAACATTTTGTAGCATAGATAAGTGGTTCTCAACCTAGTGGCCACGGCCCACAAATGGGTCGCAGACAACTTGTTATTGGGTCGCGGATAAGCCTAGTACAGCGCTGGAATATGACAACGAGCTTTACTAATTTTTTTTTAAAAATTAAATCTAAGAATAAAAGTCACAGCCAAGTGTGTTAAGAATGATTTTAAACTAAAACTATTAAACTTCAACCCCGAATGACAAATTGACTTTATCCCTTTGACGCAGAGGGGAAACTGGTGTCTCTTTTGTATTTTTTTTTTCTGATGCTCCAATTACAAGTAAAAATATTTTTCGGTATTTTTTAATTATTAAAAACAGTCTAATATTTATTAAAAACATCTGTCAAATTATAGGAATCTACTTGTAATATAATCCCTATAATTTGTCCTATAATAATATAAAATTCCTATAATTATTATAAAATATAAAATCCAAAAGTTTTTTTAAAAAAAATACTTTTTACATTTATATTCAAAAATTTATGAATAAGTGATTTTGTAATTTAAAGAAATTTCAATGATAAATAACTGTTTCTCTTAGATCTAAATAAGAGCAAATTCGCAATGAGATTTGTTAGGAAGATTTTACCTTAAACGTAAAAAAAAAAAAGACACTGGTGTTCCATGCTGTAATCCAGTGTTTCCCAAACTTATGACTTTTGTGCACCCTTTCTAAATTTTTCGTAACGCTGTGCACCACTAATAAAAAAATTGAATGTATTTTTTACTATGAAAAAATTGCACAGAAGTTAAAAATCACAAGTGGCTGTTGACACCACTAATACTGCTATAATAACTGTTAACTCTGCAAAAAATAGCCAATAGAAAAATACATAATCGTAAATTTTCATGGCTAGCTTTGTTAGTAAATAAAACTGTTTGAAATTTTCGCTTGCGAGATATTTCTCATAAGAAAGCGTACCCCCGCTAAACTGTTCCCGTACACCTGGGGGTACGCGTACCACATTTTGGGAAGCACTGCCTTAACCCATACTGGGATACTGTTTTCACAAAAAAACAACGCTTAGTACTTCTGTAGTGATGTAAAAAGTACCTCTAAGTGGTAGGATATGTATGCTTAATCGAATTCGATATTTTCTAGTATCTTCAATTTTCGCAGTAGCATAATTCCACCCATTCCGAAATACTGTTGTAAAAATGCAACACTTTGCAATGATGTAAAAAGTACATGCATGGAATAAGTGGTAGACCATTAATGCTTAGACAAGTTTGATATTTTTCAATGTTGGCTTTAATGAGTGTAAATTTCTTAATTTTAAACCTCAAAACGGTTATTTAAAATAATCTCGATTGAATTATTTTTTTCAAATAATTATTAAAACAAAAGTTAGTCATAAGAGGATTTCATCGTAATTATCANTCATGAATGAAGAATGAAGATAAATGAAGATAAGAAATGTTCAAAATGAAGATAAAACAAAGAAAAATTACAGACACATGAAGAAAAAAAAGGAAGGGGGAAGAAAAATAATAATAAAAAAAAATAACAAACAGGGAAAGAAAAAAAAAGGGATGAAATTTTTTTTTAAAAATCAGAAAATAAAAGATATAATATTTTCATCAGCCCACACGATTATATCCGCAAAAAAGAGTGCTTTCTGATATTGTATCAATATAGCCAAAGCAAAATATATTAATACAATAGTGTTATTGTTTTTCTTAATTTTCCTCGTGTTTTTTTTCGTATTTATTTATTTTGTTGAATATATATATATATATATATATATACGATGATTACAGTGCTCCTAAGACCCGGAATGGCTCAGGGGTTGGTACACTCGCCTTACAATCAGTCGACTCGGCTTCGAATCCAGGCGATGGCTGTTCGGTTACGATTAAAGTATCATGGGTTATAGACTTTTGTGTACCCTAGTTTTTTGATTAGATATTAATTCGGCAAAAAATAGCCAACAGAAAAATATGTAATCGTAAATTTTCATCGCTAGCTATGTTTTTAAATAAAATTGTTTGAAATTTTCGCTTGTTGCAAGATATTTCGCAATAGAACACGTACCCCCGCTAAAGTGTTCCCGTACCCCTGGGGGTACGCGTACCACACTTTGGGAAACACTGGGTTATAGTCTCCTCGCAGTGGGGCTAACCATGAGAGGTTTTTGTGGTGTTTCTCTCCACGAACAGCAAAATCAAGTTAGTCTAAATCAAAATTACATTTACGAAGGTGAGTTTATCTTGCGATATATCTGCGATATAACGTTGCGATATATCCAGAATACTTAACATGAAACATTATTACTTCCGCTTAATGTTATGTAACACGAATAATCAAAGCTATTCCTTTTTCAGTGGAGCGACAGCCCATAGAGGGCCAAGGCCTACAGTGCCCATCTCAGTTTTCTTGACCTTGGACCCTGGGGTGCAGGAGCATATGTTCCGGTCAGGTGGTCAGCCGAACGCGGAACCACCAGTGTTTAGTTCCCAAGCATGCTTGGTACTCATTTATCGAACCACTGAAGGGATGAAAAGCTGAGTCAACCTTGCCCGGCCCAAGGATCGAACCCAGGACTGTGGCACGAGAGCGTGAAGCGCTATCACTCAGCCACCGGGCGTCCAAAGCTATTCCAATCAAACAAATTAGTTGTGGTAAATGATTCAAATCCCCGAATCAATTAATGATTGAATTAAAGTTTATGGTTAATGATTGGATCAAAATTTAATTAGTTAAATTACAGCTCGGATCAGCTGATTTAAATCTTCAAATCAATCGATCGCAATCCAATAATTCGAATCAGTAAATTTTATCCAAATTAACAAATTCTAATAAATGGATTAAATCAATCATATAAAAAAGTCAAATTACTATTTTAATATTTCAATCACTTATTTAAATCAAAGAATCACATCGATGATTTGAATCACCAATTTAGTATTTAAAATCTACTTTTAAACGATTAAAACACAAATCATAAAAATAACATTTCTTAATTCTATCATATAATATCGTTGTTCTGTAAGAAAAGACAGACCAATTTTCCTTCTTTCAACAAATTTGTTTCAACTTAATTTAGACTCTCAAATCACAAAACGTAAAACAACGTGAATTAGAAACGAAGGTTTTCTGGATGGAACATTTTGTTATTCATCTTTTTAGTATCTCAACTAAATTAAATTTATTTGTGTATTATAAACCTAAAGAATCACTTTGAAGAATCACTCTGTTGATTTGAAACGCCAATGCGATATCAAATCTAAATGATCAATTTTAAAAATAACATTTCTTAATGCCATCACACTGTTATTCTATAAGAAAAGATAGACCAATTTTCCTTTTATAAACTAATTTGTCTCAACTTAAGACTCGCAACGCTAGTCGTAATACGTAGTAATACAATCAATATGAATTAGAAACGAATGCAATATTCTTTGTTATTCGTTCCTTTTATTTCCCAAATAAATTACATTTATTTGGCAGAAGGTGCATTACATAAGAAAATGGCGCCATTTCTTTTCGCCACCGAATAAATCACAGACTATGGAGGCTCTAATTCGTGCTATCGCAAATCGTTCATTTATCAAGGCACTCTTGGTCTAAGTATACTTCTCTTGTTTTCCTAACTCCTCAACGGTTAATTTAGAAGTTCATCTCCACACCACGGGGTCTTTTGGAATATTTCCAGAATTAAAGTCGGAGCTTGATGGAAATGCGCAATTAAATAACCCTTAGACTGCACGAAGAGTTATTAGGGTTTACCCAGAGGGTTGAATAGATTAATTTAACAACTAAGTTGTCTTTTCTGCTTATTTCCTTTAATGATGGAAAATATATGGAATTAAAAGGCAAGTGATGACTGTGTTTTTCAAAATGAACTAACAGAATGCGTTTCTTTATAAATATGTTGTTGTTTCTATTGCCTATTTGCCATGCCAGCAATCGTGTTTAAGGCGTTTTTTTGTTTGTTTTTCAGTGGCGCCATCTATGGACAAGAATATGATTTAAATCACACACATGTCACAGCGCGTTTTACAGGGCGAACCCACTCGTACATCAATTTTGAC